GCAAATAAAATAAAATGAAAATTAAACTTCCATGTGATGGTATAGTTCAGCTTGGGAGATAGTGATCAGTTCATTCAACTCAAAAGTGAAAGGATTATGCTTTGAGAAACTTCACTAGGAAACAAAACCAGTAGGTCACTAGGGATTTATTTTGCAATAAATTCACTAGTTAACTGTCTGCCTATTCATGGACAGCCACAGGTCACCCTGAATAATAATTCAAAACTAATTTATAGTATTTGTGCCACCAGAGGTCATTCCACTAAATAAAGTTCAAAAATCTAATAAGCTGTCTTAGATGTTTGCTTTCTTAAACAACACCTAAATTATAAAATCTCCATGTCTTAAATAGGACTTAGTGATGATTTAGAATTGTATAAATGGTTTTATTCAGGAGTTTGATCATGACCTACAACACTGTGTAGAGAGATGATGGGTAAATATTGATTTGAAAGGAGGCTACATTATTTTAAAAAGTCAAAGTACGTTGTTTACTCTCTCAGTGCTTAGAATTCAAAACAGGGCTATCTCTAGGAAGTTCCAGGTGCACACATATGTTCTCTACAAGTTTATTTTTAAGTTTGTTATTTGTTATTAAAATACCTTTTTCACTTGAATACAGAAAACATGCAGAAGAATAAGTTCCAAAATCAGGAGCAAAAGTTTTATTCTTTATTCGATAATGTCAACTGAAATATATACAGCTTCAGGAGTGCTATAATTTTCTCTTTTTTTTTCTGATATATTTTACATTGTGAATGTGGTGAATATGGGCATGGACATGGTTTTCACATCGTGCCAGGCACCAATCCCAGGTCTGATAGGAAGCGCCTGGGTGATCCTGGGGAAGTTACTTTACAATATTCTAAATATCTAACTTGAATTGTTGGGCAAATTCAAAGCAATAGTGAATATAGAGCACATGGCACATTTTCTCTATCAATCCTGGGAGCATAAACTAATTGCAATGATCATAATAAAGTTCTCACCTAGAGCAGTGATCCCTCCCAGAAGTCACAGTTCATTTGTGAGGGCCTTTTATTAGTTAAAAATTCTTTTCTCAGGTTTGTCTACTAAACATGGACATGAGTTAAGTGTTTATGAAAATACATCAACATCAGTGATAATGTTGACAACAGTACTCAGAATAGAATAGAATATACCATTTGCTGTGTTTGATTCCTAATATAATAGCATCCTTATAATCTCTCTTGGACTTTTTTTCCATGGTGCTCATCGTCCTCAGATATTACGCTACATATTTGCGGGTGGTCTTTTCTGTCTTCTGTGGCTAGTTGGGGACTCCATGACAGTAGATAATATGCTTGTCATATGTAGATAGTCAATAAATATTTGTTGAGTGAATTAATGAGTCATCCTATATGGTAACATTTTATTAATTACATTTGAGGTTGTATCAAACTGAAACTCAAATAAGTCAAGGTTTTTTCAGGGTGTTCCCTCATTCAACTGAGCTAGTAAGTGATAAAAACCAACGACTAAACATAAATCTAACTCCAAAGCAGAGTGCTTGCCATTAATTCTGGCCTAAAATCGTACTCATTTGAGGTCTACTGTAGATCGTGGCCACTGTGCCATCAAAATGCCAATTTCTAAAAATATATTCTAAGCTCATATAGTGAGTTGAAATTGAAATGACAACAGTGCATCAACAGAAATGATCCCAAAGCAAACACAGACATCTACTTAGCATGTATTTTTTTATGTAACATTATATTGGGGATGAGATTTCTTAATTTTATTCAATAATGTGATTATGTAAATATGAGCATCTTGTTTTCAAAGAAGCAAAATAAGAACAGCTTAAAGAGATATCTTTGAATTTCTCAGTATTGTTGATATGCACTTTTTTTTTTTAGCTAAAACACGCCTGCTCTAGAGCACTTTTTTTTTTCTAGACAGTATACAATTTATACCACCAAGTGAGGCAAATTGACAATATTTCGCAAGTTATTTCCCTAGGAAATTGCAACCAAGAACATAAACAGGAAGTCATTACCTCTTCGCCATGTGTTTGCTTCTATGCTATTCTTCTGCTTCTATTTTGCTCTGCATGGAATTTTCGTGTGGAACACAACAGAGATGCTACAGACCAGTTTAGTAATTCTGTTTGGTTTTCTATGACACAGACCTCCTGTGTTCTAAGAGGTTGAAAATAATCACACAGTATTTCCCTTAATGTTTTTGGAGAGCACTGGTTGTATGAAATGCTTCACAAAGACTCAAGCAAGAGTAGCAGTGGGAAGCAGGGGTAGTGTTGTGATTTGCTGTAAGGCAATCTCGTCTTGCACAACTATTATGTTCTTTTCTTGTAGATATCCATAACTGCCACTGGCTAGAGGTGGACAAAGGCTTGCCTCTTCCTCTAGGAGCTTTGCTCCTAGATTATAATGTTGGTGAATCTCAGAGCAAATTTGTCTTTGGACATTTATTAACAAGCAACCACAGAAACAGCAAGTCAACTCTGTGAAGTCACAAATATCTTTCAAAGTGATACAACATTGTTTTTGCATGAAATTTCACCCAAGGCAAATATGATAATATTAGAGAAAGAATTTGGCTAATTAGATTAGTTGGAGTCAGGCAATCAAGAAGCTTCCAGAATTAGCAATCAAATTTAGAACAACATTTCTCACATTTCTTCATCTTTAAAGGATGAAGTCTTACTAGATTTGTATACCCTGTTCATACAAGGGTAGGAAGTGTCTCTAAAATATTTTAACTCATACACAAATGGGGAAATCACTACACTAATAAAAATCCTAACATTCTGCTGTTAATGCTAATTAACAAACCATTCTAACAACAGTTCGTGAAATAGCGAAACCTGCTGTAGGTCTGAGGAGAGAGCCAAAGTGCATGTACGGATCACCTTTGGAAACTATTACTCTAAGGGCAACTCACCACCTCTACAGTTTAGTGTAAACAAAGTAATACATATGACCTGTCATGTTGTCAAAGCTTAAATATGTTCAATTATAGACATTCTAACAGGTGGAGAGGTCAAATACACTTGAGGAGCAATGCATACTTGCTCCTTCTTCTTGAAGATTCCTAAAGCATAGTAACATATAAAAGGCTCACTCATTAAAGGAACTTGCTTAACTTTGTTCTGCTTTAAGCACTCTCAAAATTATTTGATAATAGAACAATACTTAATGCTTTACACTATTAATATTTTAAGGCAATGGCTCTCAAAGTGTGGTCTCTAGAACAGGAGCAGCAGCATAACCTGGAAACTTGTTAGAAATGTAAATTCTTTAGTCCAACCCAGAGTCACTGAATTAGAAGCTGTATGTGTGAAGCTCAGAAGTCTGTGTTCTAACAAGTCCTTCAGGCGATTTTCATGTATGTATGCTAAAGTATGAGAATAAGCATCCTGAAGAACACAACCGAGGGACCTTATCTATAGGCTTGATCTAGAAGAGTACCTTATTTACCCAGATACAATTTTCTCTAATAGGAGATCCATTCCATAGCCTATGAAGGTCCTATCTGACTGTTAAATCCTAATATTATTCCTTATAATCATATTTATGTTATTTTGGGGAGCTATACATACATAGGTAGTAGGATTTGTAATTTACTTCTGGCCTGCAGTCCAAGACAATAAGATGGGAAAAGAGGTCACAATCTAATTAGCTTTCTAATTAAAGGAACATGGTTGCTTCCTAATTACACTTAGAAAGAATAAAACCTTGCCTGTAATTAGAAAGTTACTCTGCTCTATTTAAAATTTGCATTGTGTCAGCTATTTCATCATCATTATTATTGTTTAACATTTATTCTGAAATGCAGAATCTATTTTCAAAGTGCCTTGGAAAAGGTTTTATTTATTTCTCACATTGAAATTGCAAAATAGGTCAGTATTTCACAGACTGGTACAATGAGTTGCAGAAAGTTTATAGCATTCACACTCTATATCATTAGCAGCATTGGGATTTGAGTTCATGGTCTTTTATGACTAGATTTTTTACCCTTGGTTCAGTGAGTAATGTTTCTTCTCTTACTTTTTTTTTGGCTTTTTTTTTCTTTCTGTGGGGCAGGAGGGAATGCCAAGACTGTTTGCATTGCCCATATGTGGACATGGCAATCCCTGGTCCTACATCTGACCTAAAGAGCACTCAACTATTAGAATCGGTTCTCTGAAAGTCCATCAGAGTACAACAGGTCCGTCACAGCACTATGAGTTTCTCATTTTGATCTCATCCACCATGTACAAACATGCAGCCAACGATAAATGTCTACCAACAGATACTGTTTCTAATATGCTCTATGCTTTCTGCTCAACAAACCATCTGTACTTCCAATAAGATGCAAAGATGCTTTATGAAAAAATAATAAAATGAAAATTAGGCTGCCTTTTTGTTTTACAACAGAAAGTTGAAATTAACTGTGTCATTTTTCACCAAAATATTGTTTCCCATTACTGAAGAGAAGTGATCGGCCTGAGGGGCTCATGCATTACAAATCTCATGTGCTTCAGATAGCTAGTAAATCACTTGCGTTTTGCCTATAGTACTTTCTGCCGAGCTCAGCATTTATTGCTTACAGCCGAATACAGCCACCTAACTCATCCATCAAGTTTTTATAACCAACTGTAGCTTTCTTCGTGTGCAACAAGGAACTGGCACATTTACAGAATGAGAATAAGTGAGAGATGCCTTCACACACCCAAATGTACCATGCAAGCAATAAACAATACATGAATTTTATAAGGGAGGAAAAATAGAATACATTTACTGACATCAAGAGCTAAGAGCTTTTGAAATCATCCACCCACATACTAATCTCAGACCTGAATTTCCACATTACCATCTTCCCAAATGCTTAGATCATTTAACATGTCCTTCAGTGTGTGCATAATTACTGGTGGACCAAGACTAACCATTTTAGGTGCAGGCCACGAGAAGAAATATTATACCAGGAATTGAATATATTTACCTCCTCTCAAATTCTTTGTAAGCTTACTCTCCCTAATTACCCATGTAGGCATGTCTGTGGTTCCCTGTCATTGGACATGCAAGAACTGGAGGCAGAGAAATGTGGACGTGGGGAAGTCTGGGGCCAGCCTGCTCCCTGCAGGCTCAAGATCAACCATTTCACATAGAGAAAAAAAATCCTTTGCAATCTTATTAACCAATGTCACCCCAATAAACTTAATTAAAAAACCCTTTGTTAAAATCTTCCTTCACATCTCCTTTCCAGATCTGTTGGGACAGGGTTCTCATCTGTGACTGTATTTTGGAATTGCCTGAGGAGTTTATTAAAATACAGATGCCTGAGTTTTATCCCAGAGATTTGAATTTAATTTCTCTGGGGTGGAGCTCAAGAATAGGGATTTTTAAAAGCTCCCAAGGGTGATTTGAATATTGAGAATCTCTTCTTAGAATGAAGAAGGAGCAGAGGAAAAGGAAACAGAGTCCATTAATTCTACAATATTTTTTGTCCTTATTTTCTCCTCAGAGCCTCAATATTTGATCATAACATTCCTTTTTATTCACTCAGACAAATGTTTTTTTCCATTGTTAAAGAAAAAAAAAGAATACTTTCTAGAAGTTATTTCCATCCGTTGTCATCTAAAAAGTACAGCATTGGGTCCACATTAACTCCTGAGCTCTTTAGAAGCCTTTGATAAAGTGTTCTTTCAAAAAAGCTTTAATCATTTTTAAAGACTTTATTTTTTAGAGCAGTTTTAGAGTCGTGGCTTAATTAAGAAAGCACAGAGATGTCCCATATACTCCTTACTCCCACACAAAAGCTTTCATTTTTAACAAAGTTTATTACCTTCTCCTCTTTCTATTCCTTTACACTTCTTTCTTCTACAATATTTTTGAACAGAAATTTAGAAAGGGTTTTCAAAAGAGATTTCCAAAGGCAAGTAAAAGAAAGAGACTCGGTAATTTTGTGCAAGTTCTGTCACTTAATGCTCTGTGACTGGTATGTACAACCAAAATCTGCAGTTAGAGTATTACAGTTACTTGTATGTTTTATTCACACTACAAAATTATAAATTCTTTTGGAGTAGGACCAACATGTGCCTTGTGTTACTTTACACATTAATTGTCCCAGTGAGTTCTTAAGTAATACTTATTTAGGGTTGACTTGGCAGGTTGACGTGACATGAAACAACATGCTTCCTAGCTTTTGTGAGGTATCTTTGGTCATAACTGATGAACAGTTCTCAATATATTATAATAATTATACCTTTCATACATTCAAAGGTTTTTCAGTTTTCTTTGTTAAAACTCTAGTTAAAAAAATAGCATCAATATCAAGATTCACATTTATCTTGTACCATTTTTTACTTCTCACTCCTCATACACTGATACTCTCATTTATGTTCATTTGAAGAAAAGATCTTCAACTCCCAAATCCATTAAAAGTGCATCAAACGATAAAAATAATTATACACCATGACCAAGTTGGACTTATACCAGGTATGCAAAGCTGGTTCAGCATTTGAAACTCAGTTAATGTAATCTATCACATCAACAGGCTATAAAAGAAAAATCATGTGGTCATATCAATAGATGCAGAAAAAGCATTTCAAAAATTCAATACCAATTTATGATAAAAGAACTCAGTAAGCTAGAAATTGAGGTGAACTTCCTCAGTTTGATAAAGTACCTTTACAAAAAACTACACCTAACTCATATTTGATGGTGCAAAACTCAAAGATTTCCCAGTAAGATTGGGAAAAGACAAGGCTGTTTCTACTCATGACTGCCTTTGAACATGGTACTGGAAATCCTATTTAATGTGGTAAGTCAATAAAATGAAATAAAATATATACATATTTTGGAGAAAGAAATAAAAACTGTTTGTTCCCAGGTGACATCTGAAAGAATATACCAAAACAAAACAAAACAAAACAAAACATAACAAAAAAAAAAACCAACTACCACCACTGGAACTAATACGTAATTATAGAAAGACTGAAAGATACAAAGCTAATACACAAAAGCCAATTGCTTTCCTATATTCCAGTAATGAACAAGTGAATCTGAAATTAGAAACACAATACCATTTACATCATTACCCTCCAAAATGAAATAGTTAGGTATAAATACAACAAAATATGTATAAGACCCATAGGGGGAATACTACAAAACTCTGATGAAAGAAATTTAAAACCTAAACAAATGGGGAGATAGTCCATGTTCATGAATGGGAAGAGTCAATATTGTCAAGATATCAGTTCTTCACAAATTGATCTGTAGAACTGATACAATTCTAATCAGAATTCCAGCAAGTTATTTTGTAGATATAAACAAAGTAATTCAAACATTTATATATGTTTCGACAAAAGACCCAGATTAGACAATTCAATATTGTAGGAGAACAAAGTTGGAGAACTGACACTACCTGACATTAAGAATTACTATAAAGTTACAGTAATTAAGGCATTGTGCTATTGGGGAATGAATAGATAAATTGATCAACGGAGCATAATAGAGCCTGGAAACAGACCCATGTAAGAATAGTCAACTGATCTTACACAAAAGAGCAAAGGTAATGCAATGGAGCTAATAGTCTTTTCCAAAAAAAAATGGTGCTATAACAACTAGGCATTCCATATAAAAAAATGAATCTAGACACAGCCCTTACACCCTTCACAAAATTACCTCAAAATAGATCATAGACCTAAATGCAAACACAAAATTAGAAAACTTCTAGAAGATAACATAAAAAAAATTATTTGAATTTGACAATAACATTTTAGATACAACATCAAAGGCTCAGTCCATGAAAGAATTAATTGATGAGCTGGACTCCATTAAAATGAAAAAATTCTGTTCTGTGAAAGACACTGTCAAGATAATGAAAAGACAAGCCACAGCCTGGGAGAAAATACTTGCAGAAAATATGTCTGAAAAAAGACTGTTTCCCAAAATATACAAAGAACTCTTCAAACTCAACTATATAAAACAAACAATTCAATCAAAAAATGGGCCAAAGACTTTAACAAATACTTCACCAATGAAGCTATACGGATGACAAATAAATATATGAAAAGATGCTCTAAATCATGTCATCTGGGAAATGTACATTAAACAACTGGATACCACTACAAATCTAATAGAATATGGAGCAACAGGAACTCTCTTACACAGCTGGTTTGCTGGTGGAAATGCAAAATACTACAACCACTTTGGAAGACAGTTTGGAAATTTCTTACAAAACTAAACATACTCTTACCATACAATCCAGCAGTCACACTCTTTGGTATTTACCTAAGTGAGCTGTAAACTTATGCCCACACAAAAACTTGCACATGAATATATATATAGCATCTTTACTCAAAAATTGCCAAAACTTGGAGGCAACCAAGCTATTCTTCAGCAGGTTAATAGATAAATAAATGGTTGTGCAGCTAGATAATGTAATATAATTCCACATTAAAAAGAAATGGGCTATCAAGCTATGAAAAGACTTGGAGGGAGCTTAAATGCCTATTACCAAGTGGAAGAAGCTGTCTGAAAAGGCTACATTCTATGACATTCTGCAAAAGGAAGAACTATGGAGACAGTAAAAAGATCAGTGGCTGCCAAGGTTTAGATGGAAGGATGGATGAACTGTTGGAGCACAGAGTATTTTTAGGGACATAGAACTATACTGTATGATAGTATAATGGTGATACAGGTCATTTGTCCAAATCCAAATACTGTATAGCACCAGGAGTGAAACTAATGTAAACTGTGGACCTTGGGTGATTATGATGTGTTAATATAGATTCATCAGTTGTAACAAAGATGTGATAGCTTATGAAAGGAAAGAGCTTTGGGAAGAACAGACTGACTCATAGCACAAATAGAGCAGAGGAGGTAATACGATTAAGGTAAAAAATACCTACTTAAGAGAGAGAAGGTTAAGGAATTAAGCCAAAAAAAAAAATCTCCCAAACTCATAGAGACATACGAGAGCATATTTTTTACCAAGGGGAAATGGGGTAGGGGAGAAGGTAGAAGAAGGTAAAGGGGGGATAAATGGTGATGGAGGGAGACATGACTTTGGGTGGTGAACACATGATACAATCTACAGAAGATGTATTATACAATTGTACACCTGAAACTTATATAATTTTATTAACCAAAATAACCTCAATACATTCCATTAAAAAAGGGGAGAACTTTTCCATTTAATTTTCATGGTTGATTGAGACAGCTCTGGGTTGATGATCAAGTTTGATGTCATTCAGGGCTGGGACTAGGATGAGGCAAACAGGTGTCCAGGGAGCAATATTTAAGAAAGCACTCATTCTAAGGGGTGTGCAAGTCTGGAGAGAAGAGTGGGTAGATAAAAAATGCCGAGGTAGCGTCCAAGCTCTTGGTGAGACTGCTGGCATTGTGGAGGTCTGGAGGCACCTAGACTTTAGGAGCTGTTGCTCCAGGACAAAATGTCCAAGATCAAATCTGGAAGAGGGACAAAAGAGTAACAGACTTGGGGCAATAGATCCTAGATCAAGTTGTCTGATGTTACAATGAGCCATGTGAAATTGCTGGTATTTGACCGTTTCAGACCTACGGAGTGGCAATTTCATATGTTTGAAGGTAATAGTTATTTTGTGTGTCTTTTTCCTTCTTTTTTTTTCGCCAAGGCACATGTGGTCCCCGGATCTGGATGGAGTCCAAATTAAGAAATAGGGGTTCAGAGGTACTAGCTGTGAATGTGAATGTGTGATAATCAAGCAGCTCTTGTCACATACAGAACACTTTATGGCACATTGTGTGCTCTTTTTATCTATATAATCCTAGTGGCATCTCTTCTAACTAGACTGTCAATTCTTCTAGCAGCAGGGTATTTCTGATATCCTCTTAGATTCAAAGCTTTACATTTGGAGCACCAGTGGGTATACAATCAATTCTTGATAGATGGAAGATGAAGAAAGCCTAAAAAGGTGTTCTCAATACCTAAGAATTAGGTATTCCTTAAAAGACAGAAATAGTCTTTGCAACTTTACATTGATAATAATTTATTTTATCAATGGCTTGACTACAATATGATAGGTAGCTAATGAATAAATAGGTAGATGAATAAATATAAATGAGGATATGGAAATATGACTTACATTATTATTATGATGATGATGATGCATTTCCTCTTGTG